CCCGCGGCCAGCGCCGCAAGCACCGCTGGGCCCTTCCCGTTCCACCTCTCCCAGCACATGCTGGCATCTCAGGTAAGGCCTGTCATCTGGTGTCATCTGGCACGATGGAGGGAGGAGGATCGAGGTGGGCAGCAGAGGCAGGCATAGGGCTTGAGGGTGCCATAGGCGCTCCGAGCTTCCGGTGGGCAAGAACTCCGTTCTCGGGAGACCTGATGGACCCTGTGGACCACACATAAGTTCAGGGAGTCTTATGTAGGTCTACAGTCTGGCCAGGGCACTGCTTCCGATTCCTGTATGACCTTGGGCAAGTCCCTGACCCTCTCTGGACCTGTTTCCTTCCCTATAACCCCAGTATAGTGGCACCCATTAGACTCTTTCTGTTCCAACACACTGGGGGCTGCCCCTGGCTTTTGTGAGGGCCTGCCTCAGGACATTTTTCTTGGGAAAAAAGACCCTTGGCTCACTGTCAGTCCCCAAAAGGCTAAGGTGGCTGGACAAAAGGAATAGGAATTTTTTTACAATATGTTCTGGACAGTTGACCACCAAAATGATCCACCTCCCAGATGTCTCTGGCCCATTTCAGGCCCTCTAGGAAGTCCTCTGACCTGACAAAGGACAGGGCTGTTCCTTCCCCCACAGTGGGTCTCCCAAGTCCTCCAGCCACATGTCCCAGAGAAGAGGGGCTCAGTTCCCCAGGCTCAGGTTGAAACTCTGAGCTCCCAGAGGAGAGTTTATGAAACTGTGGCCAGAAGCAAAATAAGAAGATCCGATGGAGAAAGCGGCCTCTTTGGTTGCTTGGGTGGAATATTCCCTGTGGAAAGATTTGGATTCTCTACATTCATTTTCTTCCCTCTGAGGTTTCTGGCAAATTGAACCCTTGAGATCTTATCTTAAGGGAAGAAAAATAGGAGTCCAGGTCTGAGAAGGCTCCTTTGGTTCAGAAGCAAATATTTTTCGAGTGGGGGAGGGGATTCTGAAATGAGTTTTAAATGGAGCTCAGTATCAGGGGTGTGTGGAGTGAGTGTTTGAGGCACTAACATCATGTATCTGGGGCTCTGAGCTGGCAAAGAAGTCTCTGGAAAATGGAGTTCAGGGCCTAGAGGTTTCATCTGTACCCTCGATTCTGTGTGTATGTGAATGCCTCCTCCCCAGCCCAATTCTGGTGACAAGCATGGGCATCAAAGAGGTGGCTGGGAAGTCAGGGCTTCTGGTCACAGCCTGATCAACAGGTGTAAGGCCAGGGCAAGAGTACTCCGCACTCAGGAGGCATCACTTGGTATACTGCCAGTGGTTAAGTTCTCAAGCCAGGGTAGCCCACCTCTGGGCCATCAGGAAGGGCCAAAGCTAGATCTGAAGCCTCCCTCCTTCCTCTGAGGTGCCAGATCTGAATGCTCAGTAGGGCTTGACCTTCTCAGGAAGGATATTTTCTCATTCCTGACTAAGCTACTTCTTCTCCTCCTCCCTGCCTGAGGCTCCCTGGAAGCGCAGCACAGTCAGCCCCTGCCCTCCTCCCCATACCCACATACTCTGTGGGTTGAACCATTATCTCAAAAGTCAGATAATCCGAAAGTTGGGCCTCAGGGACTAAGGAGGTATTTGTCCTGGGTCTCCTGGCTCCTGTGCTCTCCACAGGCAAAGACTTTGCATTCCTTCCTCAGCTGCCACTGAGGTGCCGCCAGGAGTTCTTTGTAGTGTATTCAGGCCGGTTTAGAAGTGGATTGGCATCTGTATCCCTCTCCTGGCTCAGGCAGGAGACCCCCGAGCAGGTGGGCAGGCAGAGGGAGAGTTTACAAAGCTCCTCCCCGATCTGTGCTGCCCCAGCCCTTTGCGGCACCTGCAGGTAGAAGGGCTGGGGAGGACACTGTTCTAAGTGAGCAGAGACCCCCCATTGCAGCCAAAGTTGCCTGCTGGCCACCTGGCCCTATGCCAGCCCTATTTCCTCCCTCAAGGCCCAGGCTAGTTCAGTTGCCTGTAATGGCCTTTCCTGACTCCTACTGTAACACCTGGCACAGAGCTTCATGGTGCCAGGGCTGTGCATCATAAGCTGCACTTCTACCTGGGTCTGGCCACAGGCATACTGGCTCAGGCCCACCTGTGCTCTTTGGGATTACAGTTATGTGAGCTCTGGTCTTAGATTCCTAGAAACAGTGGGGCAGGGATTCCTAAGTCGTAGCACCACTCCCACCACCCAGATCACCCTCAGGAACACCTCAGGCAGGATGCCTAACCCTCGTCTTGTTCTGTTTCTTTCAGGGAATCCCAATGCCCACTTTCGGAGGCCTCTTCCCCTACCCTTACACCTACATGGCAGCCGCTGCGGCAGCGGCCTCCGCTCTGCCAGCCACTAGTGCTGCGGCCGCCGCCGCTGCCGCCGCCGGCTCCCTATCCCGGAGTCCCTTTCTGGGCAGTGCCCGGCCCCGCCTGCGCTTCAGCCCCTACCAGATCCCAGTCACCATCCCGCCTAGCACTAGCCTCCTCACCACTGGGCTGGCGGCCGAGGGCTCCAAGGCTGCAGGCGGCAACAGCCGGGAACCCAGCCCGCTGCCCGAGCTGGCTCTCCGCAAAGTGGGGGCCCCGCCCCGCGGTGCCCTGTCGCCCAGCGGCTCAGCCAAAGAGGCGGCCAGCGAACTGCAGAGCATCCAGAGACTGGTGAGTGGGCTGGAGAGCCAGCGAGCTCTCTCCCCCGGCAGGGAGTCGCCCAAGTGAGGGGGCTGCCCAGCTGCTCCGCCACCACGCAGGCCTCCCGGGCTGCCTGCCCCTGCTGCTTGGGACGTGTACAGCACAGAATGGGTATTTATTTAAATAAAGGAGTAAAAGAGGGCTGCAGCAGCCGGAATGAAGCCCCCACCAGCCAGCCGGGGCCTGGGACACTTCCCTGGGCCTCACAAGGAATCGGGCTGCCGGGAACACAGTCGCTTTGGAGCCAGTCCAGGTCTGCTCCAGTGTCAAGGTGTCATCGGCAGGGGCCTCTCCGAGTCCTCCAGCGCTGTGAGGAGGCCTCGTCCTTTGCCCAGCCAGGGGCTGGCTCTTTGGGAGCCAGAAGATGCAGGGGTCAGGGGTAGGAGCTTCGGAGGAAGCCCCGGAGCCCCTAGTCATGGGCCTGGACCACTTGAGAATCTGGGATGAGGGATGCTGGGGTCAGTGAAGACTGAAGTCAGTGTAGACTCGAGCTGGGAGGGACCCGGTCGTTTAGTCCTCCCACCTCTTCTCCCAGACAGGCGCCCCTCCAACCCCTGGGTCAGCGGAGGGAATGGCACTTCTGCCCTGAGTCCCCAGGGAAAAAAGATATTTATGAAATAAATGGTAATTTGTGTAAATAAGCTTTAAGGTTCCCAGAATATGCAAATTGGTATTAATTTATTCAAAGGTGTACATTGCTGTGTACATAATATTTAGAGATTAACTCATAGCATTTAATTTTTTTCATTTTACATGAGCATCTATATTGTACAGGGCTGAGGGGGGGTGTCCTTGGCTGCGGGAGAGGGCCCGTCCCCCGGAGGAGCTCCCACCCCACCAGCCCCTCGCCCCTCCGCCCGGGCTTTGCTCGCCCGGGCCCGCGGGCTCCACCTCAGGTTTTCACTTTTCGCTCCGGAGAGAGACGAAACGACAAAAACGCGAGAAAACA